TGGCATACAACTCGTCCATCCACCCAGCTATCGGGATGTCGCCCTTTGAGTTCAAGCACGGCTCGCCGGTCACTTCTCCGTTGGACACAATCATTCCATGAACGGCCGAGAGCGACGACCATCTTCTTTTCTTGCGTCAGATGCAAGAGCAACTTGTCAAGCACGCGACCAGATGGCCAAGACGCAGCAACGCATGAGCCAACAGGCCAATCGCCAGCGTCTTCCTTTCCCTTTTCGCGCCGGCGATCTCGTTTGGGTTTCCGCCCGGAATTCAGCCTTGAACAAGATATCTCTTGCAAGCTTCTCCCGAAATGGATGGGGCCTTGGCCGATCGTGGCACCCATTGGGGATGCACCCGAGGGACCTTCCTTCACCATTCAGGTGCCCGCCCACTTGCCCACTTGCCCGTCTACCCGGTCTTTCATTGCTCAAAATTGGCTCTTTACACGCCAGCGGAATATGACGATTTTCCCGGGCGACGATCGCAAGACCCACCCTCTTTGGACAGTTTTCAAGAGGTCGGCGACATCATCTCCCAACGACGCTACGGCAACAGGCCAACCGAGTACTTGGTACATTTTGCGTACTGCAGTCACAAAGCTGACCATTGGTTAACCTGTGCGGAACTCCAAGCCACAACTTCGGATGTTCTCGCACGCTACGAACGAAAGATGCAAGGCAAGACGGAATCTTCGGCTCCACGTCGCACCCGCATCCACGTTCCACCTTCAGATCGGCAGCTTCGCTCTCGCCCCAGGTTGACTTCATAAGGAGGGGGGGTTGTTACATGCTGCGCCTGCAACAGGCTGCACGGGCCATTTCCAGGCCCGTGATGCTTTCAGGCCAAAAGCCTGAAAACAAGGGCCTACAAGCCCCGTGTCGTTTCAGCCTGAAAAGCCTGAAAACAAGGGCCTACAGGCCCTGTGTCGTTTCAGGCTAAATCAGGGCCTTTCAGGCCCTGAGTGTTTTCAGCCTGAAACTGAAGGCCATTTCCGGGCCCTCATGAGTTCGGCCTGCCCCGAAACTCAGGCACCAGACCAGGGTATTAGCTCAGGCCATTTCTGGCCTATTTTCAAGACAACCTTTGTTTGAGCTTCAACCCCAGGGTCTGGCACGTTGAGGCATTGGCAAGAGCTGCCTCCTGGACGGGCCAGCACTATATAGGACTGGCCCGCCCTGCAGGCCAGCAGGTAGTTCATAGATACTTCCCAGGCACTTCACGTGCACTTCAGGAGGCAGGAGGTAGTCTTCAGGATTCGGCAGCAGCACTTTGGAGGAGCGCTGCAGGAGTAGTACTAGCCCTAGCAGTAGTTTTCAGCGCTGGGCGCTTTGTAGCGTTAGCAGTAGTCTTCAGCGCTGGGCGCCATAGCTAGAGTAGTACAATAGAGAGAGAGAGATTGGGTGGAGGCCAGAGGGACTTACCTGCAGCGCCATGGCTCCAGATTCGTCTTCAAGGTACCTGCAGCACAGCGCCACCTTCACAGGTTTTTACCTGGCATATGTGTGTGTGAGAGAGAGAGAGAGAGAGAGAGAGAGAGAGAGAGAGAGAGAGAGAGAGAGAGAGAGAGAGAGAGAGAGAGAGAG